CTCCTCCTCCTCCTCCTCGTCCCCGTTCGTGTTCTCTTCACTGAGCTGCCCTTGCCCATCTGACTTGGCTGCGGCCGATAGACGCAGTACGCTCTGCACATACTCGATAGTTTGTCCCTGCCCTGCGAACTTGTCCACACCAGCTTCACCGTTCCTCACAGTTGCTCCTGGTTTCAGCATCCAATACTCATTGCTCAGCTTGTGGAGAGTGCCGCCACTCCACTTCCACCCGAGTTGTTTCAGCATCTCGAATATTTTCCCCCGCTTTGAGTTCTCAGTGATCCCGACTCTGCGGAAAGATGCTGCGTCTTTCATCCTAACATCTTCAATCGCATCACTATCGGGGGGGTCACTGCAATGCGTCTGGTTGATTGGACCTTGGCATCCCGATATCCTTCTCGAGCTGCTCTGTCCGGCTCGGGAAGATGTGGTGCTGCGGCTGTCACCGCTCGATAAGGTCCTAGGTTGTCCTTCGACTCCTTCAGAACCAATCTTATCTGAAACTGGATCTGCTGCTGCTCCACGCACATCAATGCTCTCTTGTTCGGGCGGGTTGTCAATCGAAGCGTGCTCAGACGCTCTGTCTGCAGTCTCATTGCCCGCTGTTGCTCCGCCTGCTCGCTTCTTATACAAAGGATGACGCCCTTCACACGATGCGTCCGAAGACCCTATGGTGCCATCAAAGATATCCGCAGCATTGCTTCGTACACGCGCCATTGACTCCTCCTGTGCCCCGGAGTTGCCGAACTGGTTGCGGCGAAACCGGGGTCCAGCATGTGTGGGATGTCCATCCAGGCGAGGATACTGGCTCTGCGCGAGACACTCCTTCTTGCGTCTGGGACTGCCAAGGTCGCCTGGAAGCGCCCGAGGGGGCATCTCACCTGGCGCCTGCCCGTAGCTAGCGTGAGAAAACCTGCCGCCCTCTTGCGCATGCTGCGACTGGTCGACACGCGGGGTTTGCTCCCACGGGCGCTTTACACCGTGGGTTGTATAAGAGCTTTCCTCTCCGACTTGTGTGCCTACCTCATAGCCTTCTCCGTAATCACTCCGACACGGCGTCTCGTCTAGGTCGTTACCGCTGTCGTTGGAAGCGTTAGGGATGTTTACGTCGACCTGGCGGTCTGCGCTTGGCTCTTGCTGCGTGGCATCTAGCTGGGTCAACGTCGATGACGCGGAGGAGGAAGGGTATTCTCGTGGGGTGTTGCCGCCAGAAGAGTGACTCCATGCACTCGACGGGATGCCAGAACTTGTCGCCGGAGTCACCGTAGAGTACGTGCTAGCGCACAGAGTGGAAGGTGTCGATGGGACCGTGGTGTCCGATAAACTGGACAATACAAGGAATGTTGAAAGCGGAACGAACCCAATCAACAATTTAGGTGGTGGGCTTGGCGATGTCTCGTGTCTCCGGTCCGGCCCGGTATCAACCTTTGTTACTCCACACACAAGCTGGCAGTTCGCGATTTCCCGCCCTCGCCGACAAGAAATTCCACTCGAAAAAAACGGAAAATCTCGACTCGACTGCTACCCAAGCGTAACATGACCTGCTGGCCGCCGTTCAACACAACATTGACGTCTCCGGCGGTTATTCCCGACCGCTCTAAATCGATATCATATAGTCCGCATTCGCACAAAGGTGCATCGCTACTGCTGAATGAGATACACCGCCATCAGACAGTGCGGTTTCTACCTTCACATGCCTAGCACGCGGCTGTTGAAAATTGCGGACAAGTACCAACGGCAGGAAGTTGCAAGCATACAACAACAAGCGCCCCTGTTCTCACCTTGCCCTACCGGCGTGGATATCCTCTCCTCGTTTGCAGCTTTTCAGGGAAGGCTCGTCGAAGCCTGTGCAGCGTTGAGACGACCCCGAATCAGAACCCAAGCGTTATCTATCTGTGCTTGGTTGCGAGAGCTTGTTCTGTATTTGAAATCAAAGTGCTCGCCCTTCCGGATGCGCGTCAATCGGTCGACTCGAGTACAACAACGAAGGTACGCGTGTAGCGATTCGAGAACTTTCTCCCTTTTTCACCATGCTCGTTCCATCCCATGCTGCTGTATTGCGAAAGAGTCGAATACGTAGCCTATGTACAGGGTCGGGGACAGTAAGAAACTCCGCCCCCCCGATGACTTTCAAATTTAGAATTGAGTAGTCTCAGGTACATTAACTTTTCTCACAAAAGCAGCGGTGTGGGTGGGGGGTACCACGGTCAGCGATCTGTGCGCGTTGTTATA